AAACCAGCCTCAAAAGCCAATTGTCATTTCAATTGTGAGGAAACAGCTGGCATAAGAATGACGAAAGGAGTGAAACAGACATGCATTTCTTAAATGAAGAAAATCTATATTTAATCAAACGGTGCAGGTTGAAATACGCAGTGGACCAAATGTTCTAATGTTACAGCAGTATTAAAGTAAAGTAGTTTGTGCTTTTAAAAGTTCTAAAACAATCGTGTCATTTTTCCCCCCTCAATACAATAATTTCATCATGTTTAAATGCCCTGAGAAATAGTACTACGCATGACAGATAATCCTTCACTACCTGTCATGTTGTAGTGCATCCAGTTAAGCATGATTTCAGGAGCACGGTACCACCTGGTGGCCACATATCCTGTCATTTCATCATCCGTATGCCGTGCCAGGCCAAAATCAAGGATCTGCGAGAGGGAGGAAGGGAGGGAGAGAGAGAGGGGGAGAGAGAGAGAGAGAGAGAATGAGAATTCCAAATAAAATTTCTGAATTACAGAGGAAACACCAATTTGAGACAGGAAGCAAAGATTTCCTTATTTTCTGACTAGCTATAGCTGGAAATATACCAAGCAAAGTGCTACACCAACTTCACCTCAAAGTCCATTCTGGTTCATGCCTGGGAATATTATGAAAACAGCAGACGTACCTTAAGCTCACAATCTTCATTCACAGCCAAATTACTGGGCTTCAGGTCCTTAGGAATAGAGAGAATAATTTCAAAAGTATTATTGAAAAATTATAACGTCTAAATATTCTTAAGAATGAAAAGTTCTTTGCTCTTTGAAAGGGTGTATTTGCATTATTATGCTATTATATTATCATTATATAATCAGGAGCATAAAATGGTCTTATAATGACAAGAATATTGTTTATCGCAATTATTTCTTGGACGATATATACCGCCTGACAAAAAGTAGTTATCATGACCGGGGTACGTCTGTAAACATTTTTAAGGTCTGTAAGCACTCTCATAACTGCAGACTAACTGGCACTTTTAGACTTGTTTTAGAAATGCATATTACAAGATATTACCATAATTATTTTCTCAATATTGAGTAATTCTATATATTTTCCCCCTCTATCTGTTCTAGAAAACAAATTTGCCATTAATTTAAATAATTTCATTTAACTTGAGGTATGTTTCACAAAGCCAGAATGTTCAGCTATTACACAAAAATTGTTGTGCGTCTCATCTGTGATTTGTTTAGTTGCTACAAAGTAAAAAACATCAATTAAAAACCCAAGTGAACATCCTCAATTTGTGGCGATTCCATAATTTATTTTTTTTGCCAGGGGTTGTAATCTGTAATCTAAAGAAATACATACTTTATGCCTTTTCACTGTAAATCTAGAAATATAAAATTACTTACTCTGTGAATGATGTCTGCTGAATGGATGTACTGCAACACAGAAGACAAAAGAAACACACAAATATTGTTTTTTTCCAAATGAAAAGTGATTCTACACAATAAAAAGGAGTGGAATACATCAGAACATATTTCTAAACATTTATTTACTTTCACAACCTATCTTGTGCACATTGCTTCACCTTGAGCCCTCGAAGGATCTGGTAGATAAGGAACTGCACATGGTCATCGGTCAGCTTCTGACATTTCACTATGTTATTTAGGTCTGCACCCATCAGGTGAGTCACCAGATACCTGCCAATCACAGAAGAGTATGTGGTCATACTCTAGACTTCATCCAAGTGACCAACATAATAAAATCTCCCACACATAAGATAACATCTAGCTTTTAAAGACATGCGATAGAACTTTGGCAAGGAATGTGGAAATTTTCTGATCATTGATAATTGAGCATGCACAGAGGATTAAACAAGACAATGATCAGTCACCAGACGTATTTGTGACTATGCGCGAGACAAGATGCATCAAATAGCACTTTGAAATCAACAGTGCCAGTACAAATATCTGAGGAAAAAAGAAAAAGTAAAACCCAGAAAAGCACATCTGAAACTGCTGCAGAAGCATGAGTCAGCAGCTGGTATCATTGTGGCTACTGCCATTAACTCCCACACATGGAGGCGCCACACTGAACTCAACAGTGCCTATTCAGACTTAATTACGGTGCAGTGGAGAGTCCAACGCTTGCTTTAGTAATTGCCTCCCAGTAACTCAACTCAGTTTCCGTTGTACACAAAGTTAATGCTAACCACAATCCCCTAACAGATGACTCACACTGTTCAACAGATAATCACCCCCTAACAGATGACATGCATAGTCCGTAGCATTATATGAAACAGAACCTTCCTGGCACTACATAGAAAGGCTTAAAATAAATTCTGCTTAAGCCAATGGAGAGATTTTCCACACTCTCTGCACAAATGGTATCTAAAACAATAAACAAACAAAAATAATAATAATAATAATAATAATAATAATAATAATAATGATGCCCTCTCTGTGATACACCAACACACACACACACACACACACTCAAAGCCTAAGAGATAAAAATGCACACTCCACCAACAAACATACATCCACACACAAAGAATCTCATCTTATATAATCAGCTTACACATAATGTGCGCGCAATCACACACAAACGCAGCCACGCTCACGCTACAGCTCATTGGTCAGATTCAGCAGTATTAATGAGAAGAGTCATTGGTTTTTCCCCCCATACTGTGAATCTAATTTTTTCCCACCAGTACAGATAAATCAGCGTGAAAAGGGACAAGTGGTACATGTGTGTGCCTTCACTCAGGGAGGTGAAACCAAACATGCATATTTTTGGCAGCAGCAGACACTATAGCAAGTCAAGCCCTTTCTTGAACTGCCATCCCCAGCAACAGTCATGACACGTCTAGCTAGTTGTTTCGATATGGCCCTTACATCGTCACGTGCTAATTTTGAATGATTGTCGTTCCAAGAACCATCTGGTCCAAAATTGTATAGCACCATTTCAGTTTTTACATTTTAAAACGTAAACCTTCTGAGCCTTGAACGGTTTTATCTATACTTGGCTTTGACGTCAAGAATATCAAACACCAAGGATGTGGCAAAGACTACAGTGTGCCGTTTATGAAAACTGACACACGGATAACGAGTAGATAAGAATTCAGCCAAATATTACATTGCAAAGTTCAGTCAAGCCACACTGCATGGTGTTGACTGGCTCAGGTAGTGTGTCCGCACCTGCTCTTAACTGTAATAACATTAATCGAAATGCTTAAGTAATTGCCTCTAAAATATGAGAAAGCCTGAAAAAATGTGCAAGCCTGACAAGACATTTATTAAGACAAGCTTAATATATGCTAAGATATGCTAAAGATACACCATACGGCCAAAAGTGGACACCTGACTATCACACCCGTATGTGGCTCTTCTCTAAACGGTTGCCACAAGGACACATTTGTACAAGATGGCTGTGTGCTGTAGCATTACAATTTTACTGGAACTACAGGGCCTTGAACCCATTCCAGCAGGACAATGCCGCTGTGCACAAAGCAACCTCCATAAAGACATGGTTGGCCAAGGTTGGAGTGGAAGAACTGGAGTGGCCTGACAGAGCCCTGGCCTCAACCCCATTAAACCCTGGCCTCAACCCCACTGAAACCCTTTGGGATGAAACGGAACGCCGACTGCATCCCAGCCTTCCTCACCTAACATCAGTGCCCAAACTCACATTGTGGCTGAATGAGCACAAATCCCCACAACCACGTTCCAAAATCTAGTGGAAAGCCGTCCCCAAAGAGTGGAGGTTATAATAACAGCAAAGATGAGACTAAGAACATACTTAAACCATAACATACTTCTTTGGCACTTAGAGCATCTGTTTGGTTTCAAGGGTACCTCCCTACAATGGTTCAGCTCATAGCTTAAGGACAAGTCTTTTTCAATAGCATTGGGTAATTTCTCCTCATCTTCCACTCCTATTATTAGTGGTGTACCTCAAGGTGCCATTCTGGGCCCACTTATTTTTAACTTATATATGTGTCCATTAGGGAATATTATTAGAACACACAATGTCTCTTTTCATTTATATGCTGATGATACCCAGTTGTACATAACGCTGAAAGCTGGTGACTCCATTCAGCCATTATTGGACTGTCTGGACGACATTAAAAATGGTTAACAAATAATTTCTTCCAACTTAATGAAGACAAAACCGAAATAATTGCTTTTGGTCCCCTGAGATTGAGAGGTGGTCTCAGAAATGAGCTTCGTAACCAATTACCCTCGATTTCTTCCAAGGTTAGGAACCTTGGTATCATCCTGGACTCAGAATTATGATGAGCCAAGCAAATAAATTCGGTCATTAAGAATAGTTTTTATCAACTACGAATTATTTCTAAACTAAAACCATTTTTGTCTTTCCAAGATTTGTATATATCTCATCATAATGTACAAATAAATGTAAATGTTTTTATTAAACAGGCTTACTGTGGAGACCCTGATAAGTAGATATGGCTGCAAAAACAAAAATAAAGCATTTCATTGTCATTTATTTTTATTATTATTATTATTATTATTATTATTACTACTACAACATCTTAAATTAGTTTGGCGTCTTTCAGTGAAGTCTGACTATAATCTTTAAGTTAAATTTTCAAAAATTGTTTTTGAGGCAAACAAATTTTAAACAATGTGATTGCAATAAGAGAAACATTTTAAAAATGTCAAGATTTACCAAGAACAGCACACAAATTTAAAACGTTTAAAACAGCAAGGGAAGAATCGCTTTATGCATCTGAAGAAAGCAAGGAGTTTTTACTACTGTGGCATCAGATTTAGTTCACACAGCTTTTCCCCCCACCAAAAAAAGTAAATAATAGAAAATGAAAATTCTGATTTCCTTTCCCTCTTCGGCTGCGTGACAACGGATCATTCATCTGCATTTTTTAATTCTGGCACAAATTTTATGCTGGAGGCCCTTCCTGCTCCAACCCTCCGCATTTTCCTAGCTTGGGACCAACATTGAGAGTTCACTAGCTCGTGCAAATCTCCAGTGGCTCGGGCTGGCTCCCTGACCAGGAATCGAACCCGGGCCTCAGCGGTGAAAGCACCAAGTGCTAGCCACTAGTCCATCACAAATGAGGTCATTTCATTAAATATTTATTGATAATAATTGAAGAACACTGCACTGCATCTCATCGCTGTAAGTTAAATGACACATACGAACATCAGTGTCCACAAAATGTGTGTAATATCAATCATTCCTTAAAGAATGAAGACTGTATCTGAGCATCACTTACACATCGCTGAACTCCTCCAGACTGGTGGAAGGTGTGAAAACATCCAGCAGGCCTATTACCTGGAAAAACAAGAAGCATTATTAGGATTCTTTATTCAGTCTGTACAGGATTTCGTGAAGTTTGTTTGTGATTGCTGCGGACCACAATGCTTAGTTTTGGTGCGTCTTTTTTTATTCGCAGATTTTTTTAATGCTTTATTTTTGTGGAAAACTACCTGAAACGGCAAAACCGCAGTTGCACAAAATAGTTAGTGATGTTTGTTGGTAAATGAGACCTTTTAGCTGTGCTCATGTTCGACGCATATGAATCAAACAGGGCTTTAGCTGAATGTGCATTGTGATGCCAGACAACGTGAATTAGTCAAAGCCTGCGGTGATTTCGAAAAAAATTGCAAGCTCCTGCGAATACTGCAGAGTTTCTTTGAATTTGCATCCACTTCTGAGATCGCTAAAATATTGGAGGGACTGTTTATTGTCCAGTTTCTGTATCCATTAAAGCAAGACACACACTATACAAGATTTCAAATGCTATACAAACACTACACACTGAAAATGTCTGTTGTGCACGACCAAATTAAATGCTCACATTGTTCGATTTACAAACAATAACATGCATGGTCACCATGTTCATGAACCAGTGCCCTTATAATCATGCTTATGGGGGGGGGGGGCAACAAGAGTTAAGAAGTCTTTCTTCCCTTTACGCTTTGTGAATCTGTCAAAGCGAGTGGATGAGGTAGCTTCGGCCAACATTTTCTTCCCATCATATTAGGATGGTGAAATATGTCAAACAGACACATACAGTGCTATGCAAAGATACCTTGAAAAGTAGTGAAATGAAAAGTTTCTACTTATATAAAATGATTCTACAAAGCAGGAAACAGCAACAAACTTGATCATATCAATATTTAGGCCAGTTCTTTTAAGTTTTATAAGGAAATCAGCTGGTAGGATTTTCAAATGCAGTTCTTTTGCAAATCTTGGCTGTGAAAGTTGTTTGAAAGTCGGTCCATTACTTAATATTTTGTTTTCTTTAACAACATACAACTGCTTTTCTGTGAGACATGAAATGTACTAAAAAAATTTGATAAGGTGTCTACAATCTTTGCACAGTACTGTACGTTGCTGTCGGAGCTCAACCAATATGGCCTGCATGCGGTCCATGCACACATCATCTTCACTTCTGTTAATGTTATTATTACTGACAGGCACAGACCCACAAAATCACTTTATGACTTTGAGGAAACAAGTCAAACTGCTCACGCTGCAAGACACCAGAGCATAACATCTGACGTTTCTGTCAGGAATGCAGCTCGATAAGAGTGTGGACAGTTCATCGAGCATCGCTGCCCTGCCTACAATGCACCTGAAACAATGACGGTGACTGAAAGACAGAAACTGAACAATTAAAAAACGAGGTCAACTCGTACGCTGTTGGCATGAACAACACAATCTCAAAGCAAAACAGGAAGCAAAAAAAGGTTCGCTTGCCAGCTGATCTTAAAACTGTTTCGATCAAAATACATGGCACCAGTGTAGCATTTGTACAAGAGACACGGGCGCAGTAGAATTTGATCGTACTCTGATCTTTTTAAATATTCGAAATGCGATATTAAAAAGCTTTTGGTAATTATTTGTTCCAAGTAAGGCTACAAACACATTTGCTTCTCAAAATCTTTCACAACAAAAAAGCATGATAAAGAAGAAGGAAAAGAGAAAAGGGAACAAGAAGTAACGTGACAGACTAGCACAAAGTGTTCAGAGGAACTGTGAATACAGGACTTTGGTTTGGTAAATTTAGCACAATGGTTCACAACTGGACGCAACACGCACGCATGCATATTACCACTGGGTCCTGTCAAAAATATTAGCTGTAGTTTTACAAGTTTACAGAACTTCACAGAACTGTGCAGTTTTCATTTGCAATAGAAGGGAACTCCAAACTCCAGATTACTTTTCACAGGTAGTCTAATGTTAAAAGAAGGCCTCTAAATAAAATCAGCTTAATAACATACACTCATGACACCCAGCAGTTTGTTACAGCACTTTCATAGTCTTTTAGATTTATATTCAGTCCCTCCCTTCGCGATAGCAGAAATGAAAGAAAGAACAATCAAGGAAACTGAGCGAAATTCTCAGGAGCTCACAATATTTCCAAATTACAGCAGATTTTCCAGAAATTTTGCAAAAGACGAGACATGTGACGTCATCACGACGCACATTCAGCCAAAGTCGTCTTCGATTCACATGCGTCAAACAGCTAAAAAGGTCGCATTTACCAACAAACATGGTTGTGAAAGACAACAAACATGGTTGTGAAAGACATGTGTAAAACAATTTCATGCAGTTGCAAATTCACCAATTCAAGTAGTATCCTGTACAAATTTATTTTTTATTTTTTAAATAAATAAAACAAAACAAAAAAAAGCTAACAAAATCGCTTCAAATTGCATCAAAAAAATTTTTTTTAAAGTTGCAGCAAAATCAAACATTTTGGCCGCAACAATCACCAAAAAAAACCAACAACAACAACAAAAAAAAACAACTCTGAAATCCTGTATGGACTGTATATTGTGGAGTAGATTACAATAATATAGGTAAATTTTATTTCAATTTTAAATTTAAATGATAAAGGAGACTAAGATTCGAATGATAACGAACACGAGTTCTGAGGTTTAACAAGCTGAGAGCCACTGATGCAACATCCACACTTACGTTCTCATGTTTCATGTGCTTGAGAAGCCGCAATTCTCTGTAGGTTCTTTTGGCATGGATAATGGACTGGAATGGCCTTGAGAGTTTTTTCACAGCAATCTTCAAACCTGTCTTCTCATCAACCGCTGAGCTGGAAAAGACAAAGCCATGACATTGAAGTAATAAAAAAAATTGTCTTCCTTTTAATACATTTACTGTAACACATCAGTGGTGTTGATACGAATTTCATGATAATACTGTTCCACTGAGTTAGAAGCAAGAACTGCCATAAATTAGAGTCATTCTTACTGTAAAATTGAGCCTAGAGCTAGTGATGACAGACATTAGAGTTATGAACAGCGACAGTAGTGGAAGTATTGCTCAAACCTTTCCCGTCAAAAATGTGGTAAAAGTCTGATGTAATGTTTAATAGGAACATCAGTATACCCGCTCAGGAAAATGGCTTGTTGATGAGAAATCAGACGAGAACGGTCATACTGGGTTGTGCTGAGAGGAAAGCAATGGTAACTCAAATGCCCACTTTTTACAACTGTGGTGAGTAGAAAAGCATCTCAGAGCACATGACACATCAAACTTTGAGGCTACGACAGCAGAAGACCACATCGAGTTTCACACCTGTTAGCCAGCTGCAGGAATCTGAGGCCACAGTAGGCACGGGCTCACTGAAAGTCAGTACGTTTACATGAACAACAATATTCCGAAATTAACCCAATTAAGACGATACGCTGATTAAGAAACTACCATTAAACAACAATTTCTGAGTACCTAAGCCCGGCTAAAGTCACACTCAAAATAAAATAAAATCAACTTAATACATGTGGAGTATTCCTATTATAGTCGCATTACTGAAGTGCACTGCAGACATATAAACGTCTTAATCACACTATTAATGTCGTGTGGGAGTTTTCCCCACATTTTGTGACAAGACACACACACACAGTGCTCAACCGTTTGACGGCAAATAAGAGAGCACGGCTGCGTCCTAAACCACATGATTACCTCCTATATAGAAAGTTAAACACATGCATTTCAGCTACTATATAGTAGGTAAGTACGAGATTTGGGATGCAGCCCATGACTTCAAGCAGTCATCTATTGGCACGTATAGCATGACAAATAATTAACTTCACTAAAAGCTGTTGTAAACTTAAAAATGAAATACCCAAAACTGTAAATGGTACCATAACGAAGACGAACTGTATGTTGATATGTGAAATACATTCTGGAGAAAACGTCGGACGGCGTGGTGTGGGGACGTAGGGCGTGCGCCGTTAATTGATCTATGTTCTATAAGATACTATACTAATGTACTATATAAGAATATTCTAAAAGCAACTCATGTAAACACCTTAATCGCAATAGTGTTTTATTCAGAATAAGGTCAAGAATTAGATTACTGATGTCCATGTAAACATACTGACTGTTTACATGGTAGTTTCTTAATCAGAGTATTGTCTTAATCGGGTTAATATCGGATTATTGTTGTCCATGTAAACGTACTGTCTGAGTAGTTTGTAAGATGACCAGGGATGTGATTGATTAACTGGAAAACTGCATGAATGAGCAGGGGTACGGGTGTTCCTACTTTTCAAGTGACCCGGCGGGTATATGGACATCACACTTCTCTGAGATATTGCAGACATCGTAATTTGTTTTCTAAATTTTTATATTTGAATAATAATAAATTACAAACGGGTAGCAGCAGATTTGACATTAACGTTTTGCATCACCACAGAGTTAAGACTTCATATCTCATGGACTGTAGAGATTAAAAAAATTAAAATAAAAAAAGCTAGCTACTCTGACCCAACCCTATCTGTTCTTCAGAGATCCAGTTACATAAGGTTAATGGTGGGTGATGTAAAGGTCCATGAAATATAACCCAGGTGACACCGTTGCCTAGCAACAAACACCTAACAATCTTCTTTGGCACACATAAGCACATGCTGTCTACCTGGGGAACAGAGTTATCTAGCAAATGAGTTGTGGTGTTCAAACAATTAGGGCATGTCCGTTTTCATTGAAAGACACTTATCAGTAAACATAAGAGTGAGGTCACTGTCAATACGCAATAATGTTGCACAACTTTACTGGACAAAAAAAAAAATCAACACGCTGTTTGAGC